AAGCTTTGAGCTCTTCAAATATATATTAATATTAATTTACATGGATGAATTTTCCATTGACAGTCTATAAAGTGGAAGAGAAGGGAGAAACTATTTCATTGAGAATTTCTACCCAAATATATATATATGAATGGGTTTGGCAAAAACAGATCAACAATATTTTTGTTAATGGGAGTATCACTGAATAAGCAATGGATAGAATTTCTTATAGGAAATTACACTCCATTGAAAAATATTTAAGCCTGGATATCTTAGACATAGCAAGCTGTCATTATATCTCTCTGGTAACAGACCAGTAATCCAATATGGCCTTTTTTATAATAGAAACTTTGGCAACACCTAGAGAATCTTTCTGTCACAGTAAGTGTTTGTGCTTGCGTGGTATAAATTAGAAACATAGTCTGTAAGAGCAGATATATTTTGTAACATTATTTTTAAAACAAATTTTTCTTCAAAAATTATAGTCTTGGCAAGCAAAATCAATTTGGCTTTGAAAACAGATCATGAATTCTTGAAAGGGAAGTATAGTAATTATAAAGATTTTTACCCATTATAAACATGCTAAGAAGAGTTAATTTTTCTTTAAACATTACTAAATTTATTTCAATGTATATTATCTTAACACTATTATGTATTAATGTTATTAATATTTTGCTTTATTATATTTTGTCACACAGAAGAATCTTTTCATGTGATATAAGTATTTTCAATTTTTGAATGAGATTTTAAATTATTGAAAAAGACCTATATTAAGTTTTATTTATGTGGTATTGTAGAATCATATCAAAATTAACTATATTGTCATCGGTTTTATTTGCTGCATCAGTCATTCACTTCACAAATAGTTATAGAGTGTCTTGTTGGCACTGCACTTAGGTTTTGTGGTTGATACAAAGAGAGATTTAATGTTGTTTTTGCCTTTGAAGAGTTTGCAATCTCTTGCTAAAATATGTCAGGTGCTTATATAGATATAATCTTAAGTAGAAAGTAAGGAGAAAGGTGTTTTCATTATTTTTTGCTTTGTAACAAACTACTACAAAACTTAGTGACTTAAAACAACAATGTATTCTCATGATGACCTGTGTCGGAAGTATGAATAGGATTCATCTATTTTTCTGCTTCAAGAGGTGTTCACTCAATTGCTCTCTTGGCTGCAAGCAACTTGTAGTTGAGCTAAACTGAAAGGTCCAAATAGGTATTACTGATGAAGTCAGCAGGAATGGCAAAGTAAAGACCTTAGAAAATGCACTCATTCATAAAACAATGATAATACAGGCAAAAATGCCCAAAACCAGAACTCTGAAAATTAACTAAGCAAGCTTTCTGGCGTTTAACTTGTCCTATTTACATTCTTCTATCTCCTACATAATGGTGGGCTTGAAAAACAACAGATTTGTAATCTCAAGTACAAGCTAGCAGCCTAGCAACCGTTAGAGAAGGAAGAATGGATTTGGAGGTCAATAAGAACCCCGTTTCTAGAGAACTTTCATTATTTTACCTGACTGGTAGTTCCTTGGACAGTAGTGCTCATAGGGATTATCTTTATTTGACCTAACTCAGAGCTTTTCAGTAAGGACAGCATTTCCCCTGGAATTTGATAAAAAATAATCATGATTGTGTAGCATTGCAGCTGCCCAAGACAACACTTAACAACTCCGGCAAGTGAGAAGATGATAAAAAAATTTTTAAAAGAAAATGTCCTTAGAAATCATTAGAAAGCTCCAACATATTTGTGGGAATCAAAACACCTATGTGTATGTAAGGGCTTTGTGGGAACGACACCTCCCTCTCCCTCCAAATTTGAAAAGGCTCTAAGCTTGTAGCTCTGGCCAGATTTAAAGCTCTGAACAAGCATAAAGCGAAGGCTATAAGGAGAGTTATAAACTGTCTGCTTGAGCGTTGAAGGCATTCTCCAACATGCATATATAATCCCACAACAGAGACTGGGATTCTTATGGATCATAAGCATTGAACATCTCAGTTATTAGCTGACCACTATATTAATTGATCAGACTTCAGTGGGTCACACATGACAGAGTACATACTCTGAAAAATGAGTTTAGGAACATGACGAAGCAAACAAGCAGCACCAACACTGACAACCAAAATAAACAACAGCAGCAAATCACCAATGGGTGGAAAATAATTTGATTCCCAGAGATGCCATGTTATATTATTTACAATGTCTATTTTTTTAAATTAAAATTTTAATTTAAAAAATAAATGCAAACAAACAAATGATGGTCCATACAAAGAACAGTTAATAGAAACTGTTCTTGAGGAAACCTACACATTAGATTTACTTGGCAAAGTCTTTAATCCAGCTACTTAAAATATGTTCAATTTGCTACAGGAAACTTTCTGATGAACTAAAGGAAAGTATACATTTGTTGTCTCACTAAAACATACTAATAAATAGAAGTTATTAAGAAGAAGCAAATAAAAAATTTGCAGTTAAAAACTATCCTACCTAATAAAAGAGTAATATGCAAATTAACCATCACTCCACTACACCCACAAGCCACACCCACAAGCCAATCAGAACAAGTATGCCAATCAGAGTGAGTATGCAAATAAACCCAACCAAGGTGGCTACAGCCACAGAGAGGCTTGGGTTTCCCTGGCAATGGAGGAAGCCAAACTTTCCACCTACTCGCCTAGGCCTCCACTCAAGGCTACAAAGTTTCAATTATAGAAGGTAAACAAATCCAAACAGAAATGGCTGCTGGCCATGGAGCAAGCGGGAGGCTTGGCTTCACTCCAGGCTAAAAAGTTTCAATTGTAGGAGATAAATAAATTCCAGATACCAGGGCCTCCACTTGGGTTGATGGGGGGCATGGCTGACCTGAAAACCATGCATGGGGGCATGGGGTTGGGGGGATGTCCCTTAGCCCAGCTTGCACCCTCTTCAATCTGGGATCCTTTGAGGGATGTCTGACTGCCCATTTAGGCCTGGTCCTTCAGACATTCCTCTCACAATCCAGGACTACTGGCTCTGAACTGCTCGTCTGCCTACCTTCCTAATTTCCCCTAACTCTTCTGCCTGCCAGCCTGATTGATGTCTAACTGCTCCCCTATCAGCCTGTTTGCCCTCAACTTCCCTCCTCTGCCAGACTGGTACCCCTAACTGCCCTCCCTTGCAAGCTAGTCCCTCTTAACTGCCCTCCCTTGCAGGCCTGATCCATCTCAACTGCCCTCCCCTGCTGGCCATCTTGTGGTGGCCATCTTATGTCTACATGGGGGCAGAATCTTTGATCACACAGGAGCAGCAATCTTGTGTGTTGGAGTGATGGTCAATCTGCATATTACTCTTTTATTAGATAGGTTAGGAGCCTGGTGCATGGGTGGGGACTGGCTGGTTTGTCCTGAAGGGTGTCCAAGATCAGGGTGGGATTCCCTTGGGGTGTGGGGTGGCCTGGGCGAGGGGCCTGTGGTGTTTTGCAGGCCAGCCATTCCCCCTGGCGACCCAAACAGAGGCCCTGGTATCTGGAATTTATTTACCTTCTACAATTGAAACTTTGTAGCCTGGAGTGGAAGCCTGGGCCTGCCACAGTGTGTGGAAAGCTTGGCTTTTTCCATTGCCAGAGAAACCCAAGCCTCCTTCCTAGTAGCCATCTTGGTTGGGTTTATTTGCATACTCAGCCTGATTGGTTGGTGGGCATGGCTGGTGGGTGTGTCTTGTGGGTGTAGTGGAGTGATGGTTAATTTGCATATCACTCTTTTATTAGGAAGGATAGTATCCCCCAAAATGTATATACCCACTTTGAATAATTATAAAGGCAGTGTTTATTAAAATACATTTCATTTTCAAAATAAAGCTATCAGCTGTTAAAGTATACATTTTTATGTATATGTCCATAAATGTGTGCCTGTGTTAAACTCAGTAAGTAAATAAGAACTTCAGGCCAGCACAGATTTTCATATTACTTTCTTGATTGCCCTACTACATGTTTACTTTTTAACACAAAAAATAAAACCAAAAGTCAGGAATTCTCCATGACAGTTAATCAGTTTCAGTAGTTAGTTTGCAGTTTTAGTATACCTTAGTGTAATATTCTAAGTGGCATCTCAGTGCATGGTGTTTTATTTGTATAAACAGCTTCTAGCTATAGTAGTACTTAAGAGAATTCTTACTTACTATTCTTCATGATTTTTTAAAAGAGAAGCAAAATTCCTGCCTTGCAGAGTTTTTACATACAACACAGATAAATTTAAAACTCAGTGTGAAGGAATGTGTTTCTCCTTGTTTTCCCATGAACATCTATATATGAGGCATATTCATTGTTATTTTTTCCCCTCAGTTTCTTCATGAGTCCAGGGAGACTAATAAAATAAGTAAGAAGGATAGTTGGCTTTTAGCTTTTCTCTGCTATCTAGTAAGAATTTGCTTATTTTATTTTCATTAGGAATGAAAAATAAGCTAAAACCTCTGTTTTCATTGTGTGTGTGTGTGTGTGTGTGTGTGTGTGTGTGTGTGAGAGAGAGAGAGAGAGAGAGAGAGAGAGAGAGAGAGAGAGAGAGAGAGAGAGAGGGAGGGAGGGAGAGAGAGAGACTTGATACTAGGAACTTACTTGTAGAAGTTTAATATCATTAAGCTTATCCTTTGGAAAATATACATGTAATTGTTAGCAGTGTTCTTTGAAATGCTTTGTACTTCTCTAAATTGACAAAACCAACAGGTACTGTTTATTCCTCTGTTGGCATATCTTGTTGAGTAAGGTCATATCATAATGTAGTACTGTAGCCTACTTGCTTGCTTTTATATACCCCAAGCTTTCACTGTATCATACCAGAAGATATGAAAAAGGGAAAGAACAAAAATTACAATTACATAATGCTTCTCTACATCTGCTAAGTAGATTACTATAAAAATGCATAATGAATCCTAAATTTATGGAGAAAAATATGACCAAGATATTGTGTTATGTAGAACTTCATACCTAGATTTCCTTTCCTTGCCTTCTTCAGTTTTCCCACAATCTTTCTGTTTTCCTCCACAGTAAGGTATTTCCCAAAGGCCTTCCTGAGGAGTATGCCATAGCAGCCATGTTTCGTGTACGGAGAAGCACTAAGAAGGAACGGTGGTTTCTATGGCAGGTTTTAAACCAGCAGAACATGCCACAGGTAAGGAACCATGGAGTGGTGCTTAGGCCAAGTGAACCTTGGAGCTGTGTGTACAAATTAGGAACATCCAGATATTCTGTCTTTTAGAAGAGTCATCAACAGGGAAATTTAGTACTCTCACAGTGAGCATGATCTTGATGAAATCAGTAATATAGGAGACTGGTAGGTGAGATGATATTAGTTTTCCTATTTACTTCTAGATTAATATTTTGTCTAAAGAGACTCAAACTTCCCTTCCTTCACAATTGCTTCATTTTCACTAAGTCCACTTCACTGATAACATATTTGTGATTATTTCTGATGTTATGTATTATTTTAAAAGCTGTTCATTGTTTCATCTGAAAATCCTTAGTGAACTAAGAAGGGAGATATTAATTTTGATGCCCTCAGTAAAAATTTTTAAACACATGCTATATGCTAGCTAGTAACAAAGATAAGATTTTAAAAGTGTAATTTCTGCCCTGACTGGTTTGGCTCAGTGGATAGAGCATCGGCCCTCGGACTCAAGGGTCTCAGGTTCGATTCCAGTCAAGGGCATGTACTTTGGTTGCGGGCACATCTCCAGTAGGGGGTATGCAGGAAACAGCTGATTGATGTTTCTCATTAATATTTCTAACTCTCTCTCCCTCTCCCTTCCTCTCTATAAAAAATTATATACATATATATATATATATTTAAAATAAAAAGTGTAATTCCTGCCCTCAGGAGCACATGGTCTAAGGCAGCGTTTTTCAACCGCTGTTCCGCGGCACACGATATGTTGCCTGGTGTGCCGTAGGTGCAGACAAGACAAGAATTTTATAATTTTTCACTATTTTGTTTACTTAATATTTCATAATAAAGTAATTATAAAATACTTTCTTTGTGTTTATTTGATTCCTATTCAAGAGAATTACTTTATATATAGTCAATATAGGCACAGAGTTAAATTTTTTAACATTTTCTAATGGTGGTGTGCCTCGTGATTTTTTTCATGAAACAAGTGTGCCTTTGCCCAAAAAAGGTTGAAAAACACTGGTCTAAGGGGATGTCATCTAGGAAAACAGCATACTAGAGCATAATACAATGTGACAAGTGCAGTGATGGAGGTAAGCTCAGAGTTAGGTGGAAACTAGAGAAACACAGGGAAGAGCAGCTGGCCAAAATGGGGATGGGGAGAATAAGAATCAATAAGAATCTAGGATTACTTGTTAAAGAGATGGCTTGCAGATGCTCCAGTAAGGGGAGATGAACATTACTATTACCTGTTGGCACCATACATTTGTAATTGTTTCTATAGACATTCATTGGGATGATCTTTTAATATGTTAATACAGTTATAATTTTATAATGAAAAGATGAACCAAACTGAGTCTGTCCTCTATGAAAATGGATTTTCTCTGCAATATGCAAATCATCTAAGGTTAAAAAAGTTGATCTCACCTTCCAATCCAAGAGGTTGTTATTGGTAGAAATGGGGCTCTTGAAGTACTGCTGGAATAAGCATACCAGAGACCCGTATGGGAGGATGAGATATGGTAGAAAGCTTTATTTCCATAGAATTACATCCCTCCGTAAAGCTAAAATCAGAGGCAGTGTCCAAAGTTTCCTTTCCGTGTTCGAGCCAGGTCTAGTTCAGCATCAGAACAGTTACAGTCCATTAGTGCATTTGTGTGGCATCCCCATGGACCTGGGCCATGTGGGCTAATGCAGGAGAGTGCCACAAACCCGAGTCACACAAGTCCCAAGAGTGCCAAGAGCAGCGAGAAGAACCAAGGGAGTGAATTCTTTCGTTCAGGGGATTAAATATCCCAAATGTCTTGCCCTTGCAGTGGCCATGCCCATTCTGGTCAATGACGGTTGTTCTCAGATATGACTGACAGTAAGCATCTTCCCTGTTTCACCCCAAATTTATGTGTCTTTCTCTCCTTTGTTGGTCCTCTGGGGAGTGTGAAGTTGCAGCTTCCTGGTGAAGCTTTCTAAATGACATGCCTATAATATTTGGCCTTCTTTTTTCTCCTTTCCTGTTATTAATAACTAGGTTAATTACAATGGTATCAAAGTGATCATATTCCTATTCTTATAAAATTAGTAGCATTTGATTATTGACTTAAACAGAAACACACACACACACACACACACACACACACGCGCACATGCACACATGCACACACATGCATGCTTTCTAGGTGTTCTGTTTAGAAAGGAGCATATTACATTCACCAGAATACTCCAGAGTTAAACTATTATTTAGCTGTATTTTGCTGTACTTTTATATAAAATAATCTGGAGGACAGGTGTTATCTGAGACATTTTACTAAAGCCTCAGTTATACTAACATGTATGCTGAGTTTTTATTTGTATGCTTTAATAATTTCAAACACTGATTTTAAAATATTTAAAGATAATTTTCATTTTTTGCAGGTTTCTATAGTAGTTGACGGTGGAAAGAAGGTGGTAGAATTTATGTTCCGTGCTGCTGAGGGAGAAGTGCTGAACTACATGTTTAAAAATCGGGAACTCCGTTCTTTGTTTGATCGTCAGTGGCATAAACTTGGCATTGGCATACAATCCCGGGGAGTTTCACTCTATATGGATTGTAATTTAATTGCAAGCCGGCATACCGATGAAAAGGATGCTGTGGACATTCAAGGAAGGACTGTTATCACCGCACGAGCTTCAGATGGCAAGCCTGTGGACGTGAGTTGTGATGTTGATTGTAAAAGAGAAGTAATCAAATTTCTAAATCAAAACAAAGTATCTTACTTAAAACTTATTTCTTTAATTACTATGTAAGACATGGCCTTCTTAACACTGTTGAAATTAATTTTCCATCAGATATGAGAAAGTTAGCTATGCACTATATTTTCACATGTGGTATCTTCTGTGTATTTTCACCCACTTTTCTTTCACCCATTTTTTTCAGTATGAGAATTTAAAAGAATTAGGGCATGCCTTAAAATATAAGGTTTCTAAAATTGAATTTTAGTAAAAGAAAATATAGTAAAAAAGCAAGCTTGGTGTCTAGGCTTATATGTTTTGAATAGAAAGGACTGGAAAAGGATGAACTTTAAAAGGTTCCAGATTATCTGGTGTATTCAAATACAATAGACTATTTATTCATCCTCAGAATAGCAATTGCTTTGTATTGCAGACTATTTTTCATGAGCTTATAATGACTTTCTGTGGCTCTAGTAGACTAAAACATAGCCACTAATTATATCAGTAGGTCACTTGGATGAGAACAGTTAGATAACAAAACTCAGATGAAAAATTCCTTTAAAATTACTTTTGATATTCAGATGATAAAGATTTATAATTGACTTCCCTAGAGAAGTAGGTCTATAATCTTTACAAAACAAGATGTATCTGACTTTGATGATTTTACATTTTCTTATGAGTAGAATCATGGAAAATCATAGAACCATATAAAAATAATCAGAATGCAGGTCACCAATAGGCATTGATATTGCTGTTAACCCAAAAACACAGAACAGTTCAATTTTATTTCAAAAGTATAATTCTTTGCAGATATATATATTTGGCCAACTGATTTTACACACGTGCGCGCGCACGCGCGCGCGCGCGCGCGCGCGCACACACACACACACACACACACACACACTTTTTTAATGAAATGTTATTTTTAAACTGTCTTCTCTTAGAGATAGTGAAAAACTTAGTGAGAATGCCATAACTGGGATTCTACAATAATCAGCAAAATAGGCAGAGCATAAGCCCATCCGGGGACAAGATATCATACATCATGGAGAGTGCACTAGCTTGGGGATCAGACAGTTGTGGTCATAAATCCTATCTCATAAACTTAACTCTATGATCTGCTAATTAATCTTGTTAGCTGTTAATTTATCAGAGTCTCAGTATCCTCAATTATAAGAGTGTCAATAGATATAATTACTTGTTACTGTGTAGAGTATGTATTATAGTGCCTAGAACACAAATAGCTCTCTGTAAACTCGTTATTAGGGGCCAGACATGGCATTCAACCCTAGAATAAGAAAGTAAGTAGAAGGAAAATACCTTCCATTCTTGCCCTCAAAGTTCTCGAAAGCCAATGTAAGGATTAAAGTCTATGGCAGTAAATAATAACAGTATTACTTGAAATAACAACAGAACTAACCAGAGCTTTCAGAAAGGTCTCTCCAAAGAGAGGAATTGGAGACCAGCTGCTGGAACAGCAGAGATGTTTCTCCCAGCAGTACATGGAATGCAGGCAGATTGGAAGTCAGCTTCAGGGAATTCTAGCAACAAAAGTCGGGAATGGCAGTAGTACCTGCTGCATGTACCAGAGTTAAGGACTAGAATCTGGTCCCTTTAGGATTAGTGAGAGCAAAGTGGACTCTAGTTCCAGAGAGTACACTGAGAAAAAAAATCATAATCTCAGGGAGAAACAGCAAGGAGAGAGGAACAAGTTATGAGCAGTGGCCGGGCTCAGAGCTCACCCTCTGAAAGTTGAGTGTCTGTCCTGTTATTAACTTCTCACCCAAGGAAAAAATTCAACCAGAACCTGAGGCTGAAGAATATCAGGTGTATCCTTATAAAAACACATAGTGTGAAAAAGTATAGTGTTATAGTAGTTTAATAGTTCAATATGGAATCAGTTCATTTAAGGATAAAATGAAAGGCATATCACAGTGATGCAGCTTTTAATACTAAGTAACAGATAAGCTGTTAAAACTTTAAGTGGACTAATTTTTTATCTTCTTATAAGTTCTGTGATTCATAAGATCTGTTGTAATTGAAAAAGTTTTATTTATTCAGAATGTATATTATTGAAAAAATTCTAATGATTGGGTTTTATTTTATCGAAATATATGCTACATGTGTGCTTTTATGAGAAAGAGATAGATTACAATGCTGATAGAAAGGATTTTTTTTTAACCTAGCAAATCCTGTGTGATAAGGGTCAGTAAAAGACTTAGCCTGAACATCCTCATTCTAAAGTACTGTGCCAATGAAGGACTCTAAAGTAACTCATGAATAACAAAAGCATGATTAAACTTGGCTTGATTGTAGTTTCAGAGTCATGGGTAACTTGATAAGGTTTAGTGAAAATTGTCATCTATCTTCAGTTAAGTAAAATACTAATTCATCTGAAAGACTTAACACAGTGGTTATATACAATAGAATTTCAATATTTATTTACTATTTTGATAAAAATGATGATAAATGAGGTTTAGTTAAGAAAATTAATTGTTGTCCCACTTCTTCATTCGACATAATGGGTCGAATGTTACTGCCTGGTATTTCATTAGACTATGTAAGATAGTGTATTTAAACTTTATAAATAAAATTTAACTTTAATAACCCTGGGGAAACTTGTAGAAAAGAAATTCATTTCATCTCATAATTTTGCATTGGCTGTAAATCTTAGGCAGCTCATGAATTCACAAGATGTCTGGAGTTCTTAATGCTTCCTATGAGCTGAAATGATTTTGTTTAATCCCAGTGTAGACTGTCAATTACAATGTTTTTCCTCTCCTGCCCCGACCACCCCCCATTTTTTGTGTTGGGGTGGGATTTATAACTTCAGATGTCTGCTTTCTATTTTCATAGGATTAATTATTATAATATTGCAGTTGGGTCTTTCTGTAGAAAGTACTTACTGACCTCAAAGTAAAGCATAATCTAGCTCTGTTATTTTGGGAGACAGAGAAAGAGACAAAGAAAGGGGCAGGGAGGAGGAGTGGAGGCACAAGATTGTTCCTGACCTATTTTATATGTCTAATCATCATATGATTAATTATTAATTACATTATTAAATTTTCAACCACAAAATAATTAAAAATAGCCTATTTAAGCATCTCTCATATTGAAATTTTATTAATAGTCTGTACTATTTGCTTGCTCTTATGTGGTTGTTTGATCTTGCATTTAAAGGCATGATTGTATTTTCCTGGAACTACTTTAATTTCATGTCCAAATGCCAAAAAGCATGAATCTGCTGAGCAAATAGAAATAATCATTATTTTTGTAAAGACTGTGCATTCTGCTCAAGACTCTGCCAATTTAATATAAAGCCCATAGGTATTAGACAGAATCCACAAAAAATAGATAAAAACAAAATACGTTTTTTTGTTTTTTTTTTCTTATGGGAAGTGACCATCTTTTTCCATTTCTCAGATAGGTCTGGAACTATAGATAAAGTTTTCCCAACATCTGCTCAGACCTTTGATTTTATTGTTTTTTCCCAAATATTTATTTTGATATAGTCTTCATTTTGTGGGCATATACTTTATTCTAGTGAATAGCAATGCCTCTCTTTAATTAAATACTTCTTTTATACTGTTTAAACAACTAGCTGAGGCTTACAGTTGCATTCATTCCTTGATTTGCATCACATATAGACTCATCTCGATAATTGAATCTTTCTCAAATGGCCCATAAAACCATGATCCTACATTAATAAAAATATTTAAAAATATCTACTGGTAATTTATTTGTATTAGCTTTATTTTTTGTCAATTAAATTACCATAGTTCTTAATGCCTAAATGTGATTTTCTAAAAAATTAATGATATATCTTTTACTAATTTTTTAATAGATTGAACTTCACCAACTTAAAATCTACTGTGACTCAAATCTCATAGCTAGAGAAACTTGTTGCGACATATCAGATACTAAGGTAAGTTAATTTTCTTGGCATGTGAAGATGGTAGAATGCCAGTTGTCTAGTCTATAGTGCCCAAAATAGGGCAGCACTTAATTGCTTCTGTTGAAGCCAGGTGAGTGATTTGTTCCAAGTAAGAAACCCATCTTAGAACTCTCCGAGAGTTCTGTTAAATATTTTAATCCAGTGTTTTCATTCTAAACTTTGGGAACTATATATCCTCACTTTGGGTTCAACATAAGTATTGTAAAAGACTGTGTTATAACAGTAGCATCATCATTCTCCAGTTACAGGAGTGAAAATGTTTTTTCTTTTCCCAGATGTTCTACACTTACCAAAAAAAAAAAAATATGTGAAATTTTTTATCAAAAGTTTAATGCAAAAAAACACATACTATTTTTAACTTCTATCACTCACTATGAATAGGGTAGTAGAATAATAATGTGACCAGCTAATTCAAAGCATTGATAAGCCTTTCAAATGTTTATGTTTTGCTTTTGTCACTTGGTTTTATAAAGCATATTTCCAACCTAGTTTATGGTTCTTCCCCCCCCCCCCCCCCCCATTTTATGGCTCTTATTTCTAGTAAAATGAAATCCAGCCAAATGTCTTTCTATAAATATCTAAAAAGATAATTTAGAATGCCAGTCTACAGCCTTGAAATACCTAGACTTACTGGAGTCACACATTTAAATCTTGAAGATGATTTAAAAGTTTTTAAAAGATAATCATCCTTTTGTGATGTAAGAGCTCTTAATATAATAATTTTTTGTTATTGAAAAGTAACATAATTATGTTTTGATATATCCAAATTTTATTTTATATATATATATATATATAAATTTTTTTCTTTATTTTAGAAAGGAAGGAAAAAGGAATGATAGAAACATAATTGATGAGAGAGAATCATTGATCAGTTGCTTCCTGTGGACTCCCCACTAGGGATCTGGCATAGGCATGTACTCTGACCAGGGATGGATCCCTGACTTTCTGGTTCATTGGTCGACACTCAGTCATTGAGCCACACAGGCTGGGCTCAAAAATATTCTTGACCAACAGTTACTATTCTGTGTTTTCACATAATAGACATGTCAACTCAAATTATGAGAAAACTCTTTAAGCAAGTATAGGTGTGGATTTGATAGAGTGGTTTGATTATTAAAAGTAGTGACTTGACTTAAAAAATTATGAAAAATAACTTTAATCATGTTTTAAAATTAATACTTAGGAGTTAGTTTTAAAGAGTATAAAATAAGATAAAAATTTATCTCTAACTATGGAAAAAATAACAAAAGACCACTTATTTTTCTGCTGACAATTATTTAGAGGGACATCAGCGTTCTGTTAATGATTAACAAAACAGAACAACCTACATTTTACAAAAGGGAATGCATAGTTTGGAAGATAAATAATTATATAAAAGCAATTTAAGTGCATCTACTATAATTCTGACATCACCTGTTATTTTGTGTGTGGTTTTAATGTGTTGAATTTAGAAAATTTTAATTCAACTTAAAAATACCATTTTGTTCTGGAATTTCAAATCAGACATGCTTTTTATTAATATTTTATATCATATTTCAAAGGTGAAATTTATTCAAGATAATCTATAGACATACTTCTTTGCTTTTATTGATTCAATTTTCTGTTTCTGAAGTAGTCCAGTTTCATAACTTCAGACATAAAATGAAGAACAAATAACAGAAGTAGGAAATCAGAAACATTTGATGAAAATAAATGAGAAATGTGATTCAAATTTTGAGGGTCAATTAATTAAATATGTGTCAAATCAAAACCAGAGGTTTTACAAGAGGAGAAGTCCTTGTACATTTTGTTTCCTTTAGGTACTTTTTGGAGAGTGTGGACAGTTTTATAGTGAAGGCTGAGACATAATTTCAGTCATTTAAATCCCCAATTTAACAGTGAATCAGAGCAAAATTGTGATCTCCAACTGGGTCTTGGTTACCTGACTAGGAATCTATTGGACAGAAACTGGCTAGGAAATTGTGTCAGATCATATGTGCTATGTGATAATCATGTTTCATTCTAATGTGATTTTTATACTTATGGACTTGGAAACTTATTAAGATAACTAAAGAGCTAATTATTAACTCTGAAAAGAGACAAGTGGGGAGACAGGAAATGAGTCCCAGTATTCCTGGGCGCTATTTTTAAAATATTTTGTATTGTTATCACAAGCATTAGAGTACTACCCAGTTTTCAAAATAATTTGCTTTTGGTTCAAAAGTTATGCGTATTTCTTATAATAAAAAACAAAACTTGGCAAATATAGCCAAATTCAAAGTCAAAAGTAGTATCAATCATGATCGTACCACAATAAAGAACCATTGACAGTCTTTTAGTTTTGTATCCTGACAGTATTTTCTATGCATATCTAATTTATAGTATGCAGTCATGTGTGAACTCCTTCCCCTACATTGCAAATTCAGACTTACAAACTGTGGTGAGGAAGGAGCCTGGTAAATGATGTTGAGAGAAAAGGATGTATTTATCCTCTTTAGTCTCTCCATCTGGATTGATTTTTTTTTTTTTTTTGAGAGAGAGAGAAAAAAATTCATTGCTTCATAACCAAATTTGTCTTTAATGTCCCACATATACTGAACCCACTAAATAAGTATAAAATTCATCACATGTCTATTATAGTGGAAACTTTTTAATAACTCTAAAGGACAATGGACTGGAAGAAGATATACTTTAATTAAATACATAGCATCTTACAGTGTAAAAAAGAATTTATCTTCTACTTTTACATGCCTTGTTGAAGTAAACTATGTCTTGAAAGTTCATTTTCAAAAATTTTCCCCCAAAACACATTTACAGATGTTGTGTAAATTATTTTAGTGTAACAAAGCAATTATTGTGTTTGTCATTACTATACTTGTCATAAAGTCGCCTGTAATAGCTTTAAAATGTCTCCCTGAAACCAACATTTTGATGCATTTCTAGTGTGTTGTCAGTTAATAAAACACATAGGGGACCTAGTAAAAGAGAAAAGTATACACTTTCACATGCTCGTGTCAACTTTTGGTGAATTAGAAGGTAGTTCTAACAGGTCACCTCGTCGTTCCTAGTTGGTGGGAACCAGTGTTTAAAATGTCAGAATGTTTGAAATTCACCCATTTCCTAAAGCCTCTTTTTTGGATTGTAGTGCTCAGAGCAGGATGGCATTGGAAGTACCACATCATTATCACTACCCGCTCATGCCAGCAAAGTGTCTGCATATTTGCCAGCAAAGCAGGAACTTGAAAACCAGTGCCAATGCATTCCAAACAAGGTATGTATGCTCATATTAATCTATGCCCACTGAGAAGCCCTTCCACATGGTGAGCCAGCCCCTTGAATGTGGCCCTGATGCACAGAATGTGTTTGTCCTTCATTGCTAGTTGAATCAAATGCCCAAGGCACTGAACCATGGGGGTTGATTAAGAGAAGGGGTTTGGGCCAGGCCAAGCATGGCTCAGTGGCTGAGCATCCACCTATGAACAAGGAAGTCACGGTTCAATTCCTGGTCAGGGCACATGCTCAGGTTGTAGGCTCGCTCTGTAGTGTGGGGTGTGCAGGAGAGAGCTGATCAACGATTCTCTCTCATCATTGGTGTTTCTACCTCTCCCTCTCCCTTCTCTGAAATCAATAAAAATATATTAATTTTTTTTTAAAAGAGAAGGGGGTTGGGGATTCCCTGGGTTTTATCTGGATGGTCCTGAGACCCTCAGACCTTCTTTCCGAGTGTGAATGAGAATGAATAGGAAGGTGAAGGGAGGAACAACCTGTAGAACACGCAAGTACTGAGTACTTTCCACGTGCCAGGAATAGGCTTCAATTCTGGGGATTTTCAGTTGAAGGAAACACAGTGCCTGCTCTTCAACCCAAATACAAAGACACTACATGGAATGCCTTTGTTGTATGGAGACTACGTATCCGGTATCCCTGACTTATAGCCAGCTCCCTCTGTCATAACTTGTATGGGAAATATTCAGAGAATTTGTCTCACTTGCACCAGTATGGTCCTGTGGTTGGGAATTCTAGTCTCATGGACCTAAATTCACTTCTTTTGTGGATATAAATGGCAGTCACAAGGCCTGTGCTAAAAAGTGGGCTAAGTATGGTTTTCCTCTCTGCCCATACCTGAGGAAAGGAAAGAGGGAAGGAAAACATTACAGTGCCTAGAGAGACTGCCCATCCCCTAGCACTGTGACTTAGTGCATGCCCTGAGACTTAATACATCCTGCGCCTGCTTCAACCCTGGCTGGAGGAGTGGGGAACGGGATTAGGTGTAAGTTTAAAGGAATCTTGTATCTCCTGTAAGGACTAATGCTGCATTGAAAGCTCCACAGAAGGGCAAGTGCAAGGTGCAAGGGCCCCACAAAGGAGCAGCCCATGTCTCAGTCCATGGAAGGTCACATGGAGGAGCTCATGAAAGCCATGAGCCTCATGAGCAAGGGAAGAAGGACATTTCAGTGGAGAACCCAGCATCAGTTCAGAGGGAGCAAGGATTTATCTTAATATTGTTGGCATAATATGTATAAACCACCTATCTTTAGCTCATTGTGACAGATTGTTTGATAACATAGAAATTCATTTTTGCTCAGGGAGAAGCAGGATTACCCGGAGTACCAGGCTCACCAGGTCAGAAAGGGGATAAAGGAGAACCGGTAAGACACCACCCAGTGCTGTTGGGGTGAAAGTGGATTTGTTCTAAAGTGACTTAAAAATAAAATTTTCCTCATTTTTCTATGTCCCATTTGCATTTGGATTCAAATCCAAATCCTTGTACTTATAAACCGTAAACAAAATTGTGACACAAGAAAGTTTAGTTTTTTAGTTGTTGCCTTAGCCTTCTTTAACATTCTCTTTTTTAAATACTTGAATTCTTGCTTCTCAAGACTGCTGATGGGTCCCTGCTGAACTTTTTAAACTTAATATATGTGTTCCCTTCACCCATTCTCTCACCTCTCCCACTACCTCCCCCCACATCTGGCAACTGCCAATCACTTCTCTGTAAGAGAGCACATACAGTATTTGTCTTCTTTTGTATGACTCGTTACGTACATACACAAACACACGCAAGCTACAGTTTCATTCTCCATTTATCCATCAATGTACACTAGGTCGTTATTCTATCTTGGCTATGGTAAATAATGCTGTAACTAACATGGGGCAGGGGGCGTGCACATACATTTTTGAGGTAGTGTTTTTGTTTTCTTTGGTAGATAGCCAGAAGTGGAATTGCTGCATTAAAAAGTAATTATTATTTTTTTAAAAATTTTATGAGGAACTTTTGTACTGTTTTCCATAGTTGCTACACCAATTTACATTACTTCACGCCCTCACCAACACTTGTTATTGCCTGTCTTTTTTAGAATAGAGAAGGTGTGAGTTAATACATTATTGTGGTTAAAATTTGCATTTCTCTGATTATTAATGATGTTAAAAATTCTCTTTATGTACCTGTTGGTCATCTGTAGGTCTTCATTGTCCATTCAGATCTTCTGCCCATTTTTTAATTGATAGTTTGTTTTTTTGCTATTAAATTGCATGCACTCTTTAAAGGTTTTAGATATTAGCCCCTTATCAGATATATAATTTACAAGTATTTTCTTCCATTCAGTAGGTTGCCCTTTTATTTTGTTGATGGTTTCCACTGCTGTGCAGAAGCTTTTTAGTTTAATGAAGTCACACACTTCAGGGATATTGGCCTATAATTTTCTTTTCTTGTGGTCTTCTTGTCTGGTTTTGGTGTCATAAAGTGAATTTGGAAGACTTTTCTCCTTTTCTTTTCTTTCTTTCTTTTTTTCTTTTTTTTTTTTTTTTTTGTAGAGTTTGAGAAGGATTGGTATAATTCTTCTTTGAATGTTTGGTAGAATTCACCACAGAAGCCCTCTGGTCCTATGCTTTTGTTTATTGGGAAATTGTCAATTATTGATTTAATCACCTTGTTAGTAATCAGTCTGTTCAGATTTTCTATTTTATCATAATCCAGTCTTGGTAGGTTGTATATTTATAGGCCTGTAGCTGAAATACAACTGAGACCTAGATGTTATCTCTAATAGCTTAATGCTTAAGGGAGTGGTCATGCACAGGCTTGTATAGGAAGCTATGAGATATTCTCTGGCCTCCTTGTTCCTCCTCTAAGGGGATCTTCCATTGACTAGTGACATGCCAGGGGAGGAAATGTCACCAAAGAGTCCAAACTACATGACCAGCGATATGTAAGGTCAGGGTGCCTAAACCTCATGACCAGCATGACCATCAATATGCTAGGCAAGGAAAGGTCACTCTGGAGGCAGGATCCTAGTTCACTTTGTCCATTGTTGGGTACTGGGGGCTTTTCACTCGGATGACCTTTTGTACTTACCTATTGTTCCTTCTATGTGCATGCCAACTAACTGCCTAATATGACACATTCACTCATCAATAATTATTTATTGTTCCAATTATTATAATAAAAAATGTGCTAAGTTCTGGAGCTATAGCAGTATTGAGAAAGCATGCTGAGTTTATACTTAATCTCACTGAGTTTATACTCTAGAGATGATTCATTCAAGAAGCCTTCCCTCCTTAGGAATGAAAAGAAAAAACTAGGAAGGAAGGAATCATTAAAAAATTATATTTATTAGCTAAGTTATTGCATGCTAAACCTATAAAATATACCAAAATGTATCTCAAAATTACAGTGCATTACATGGCTTCCCATTTGTGATATATCTTTAAAATATTAACATTCATTTTTACTTCCATGTTATACAAAACTTGTAATGTCAAGAAAGGCAAGGCAAAATAGCTGGGATAAAATAAGTGGATAATAATCTACAAGACAAATAATCAGTATACGTCCATTATTTTTTAATACAAACACTAGCATTTGATTAAACCAGTATAGCCCTTTCTGTGTAAATAGGACTTCAGATGACCATGGCCATTTATATGTTCAGCTTTCCTGGCATTTGTAATAAACTTGGATATATTGTTTCATTTGACAATAAGTCCATTTTTGTTTTTATTATACTGTGTGATTCTGCACTTTAATGTGCAGTAAACAAAGATGGCATTTCTTTGTGTTTAAGTCTGGAATATAATTTTAGATATTAGAGCAGGTATACAAAATAATGTCTAAATAGCTTGAAATCAAAAGCCTTTTTTCTCCAAGGCATATTGAATAGTTAATGTTGTGACATGACCAGTGTTACTAAGGGGCCAGATACTGTTCTCAGGGTTTTCCTTGCTTAGAAGGCCAAGAAAGGAAATTTAGGGGAGCCAGAACAGTATAGCAGCAGAAGTCTCACACTGGAGCCCAAACCATTTGGGATTGAGTCCAATGTACCTTTTACTTGCTTTGAAAATGATCCTTAATAACACCTTGTCCATTGTTTATTTTATACAATGAAATATATAAAAAGCTTGTAGTATCAGAAACTGGCACATAATGAATATTCAACAAATATGTTTTCTCTGCTTTCCTATCTACAGTGCAATTGCTCACATGTTGAAGGACAGGTGGAGAAGATCCCTTTAGGTTGAATTGTAGTTTGTTATGTGACCTGACATAACAAGTTATGTATTACTTATTGTAAATTTTGAGAAACTTTACTGTGATCTGGGGCAGTTTTATAAGAGCAAATTTTACTTTTATTTATGCCCATGTACTATGAGTTTGACAGCTATTTTGCATAATCATGTAAGTCCTGTCCAACCTGAGTCAGAACCCACCCATGGCTTTCTGTCTCCATCAAATAAACAATAAAGCTCTAACCATGGGCTACCAGGCTTCACTTAAAGTGTAGTCCTCATCCTACCCCACCCCTCACATCCTGTATCACCTCCTACCCTCTCCTCTGTTCACTCCTGCTCTCAGGTCTTTGCACCAGTTTACATACCACTGGAATCTTCTGCTAGATATCCATTTGGTGCTCTTCACATCTTGCAGGCTCTTGCTCAGGAATCAGTTTGAAATCCTATTCTGACATTTCTATATAAAAATCAGTTTAAAGCCCTATTCTGCATCTATATGTGAAAATCACTCTTCTTTCCACCTCTATCTTCTTTCTTAGCACTTTTATTGCCACCTGACATGTCATCATTTTGCATATATTTATTCCCCCCCACTAGCATATGATTTCTTTGAGCACTATACATAGAACAGCACATAATAAGAGCTAAAAATACATTGAATGAATGAATGAGCAGTATAGTCTAAATCAACTCAGCTATTTCTAGAATCTATAAATTCAATGCTCCAATTGCTCAGGGATCCTGCCAGGCAGCACAAAGAGTCAATTTGCAAAGAGCTAGATAAATCATAAAGGACTGTTACATTATTCAATATTGTTCCGCTACACTTTTTTCCTTTAAAAATACAAAAATTATTTTCACATAGTGACCTAACTAATTTTAGATTGATACTACCAATTGGTTAATGAAAAATCAGAAATATATGGGGGAAAGCCACATGCTTTCCTATATTTTTCTATTTGCCTATATTCTCATCCCTGCTGTGATGCTTCATTAATCAGATTCACAGCTTTTTAAATGTTTGATAAAGATGATGACCTTCTCTCATGCAGTAAGATGGTTTGAAATTCAAACACTGCTTATGTTTGAACACCTAGATATGATCAGTATTCTGTCAAGGCACCTAATCAAACCATTCTAACTATGCCCTCTGTTCAAGACTAAACTCTGGGTGACATTATTTCAAATAATGAATTCTTTTCAGATTAAATTATTATAATTTTCTGAAACTTCTCATTCCCCTTTCTTAGCAAGTATAGGTGGCAACCTAATTACTTAGCAACCACTTTCCTTTCTCAGTTCTTTAAGACCCTTGCTAAAACCCTCACCCACTTCAGAGAAAACGCTGAAATTCTCTGAGTTTTATAAAATAGCAGCTCAATTTCAATGTTCCCAAACCTAAGGGCGGATGTGATCTGAGCTCTATTTTGGGAATAATTTTCTAGTTCATTTTTGTATTATCTTTTACATTTCCAGTTAATTACCCAAAGTGTAGGCTTTATGAAATGATTGTTTTGCTAATATATTTTTAGAGAAAATCAAATTAATTTAAAATTTATTAAGTTTATTTACTTGACTCTATAGTAAAAAAATTTCTACTACTCCACCCTCTAATTTCACTACCTGGAAGTTTCTATTCTGAATAGTCTAATTTGTTAACCCAGAGATTGGGTTAACTCAGAGTTTAGTTTTGATTAGCACTTTGATATTTATTCATTATTAATAGTTTGAACATTAATTATAAACTATATAGTTTAATAACTTGAGGACAATAAGAGGAAGGAACTTAGGGAACAGACTTTGGGACAAGCAAAAGCAACTCATCTAAGAAGTTGTAGATTCTCTTCAACAAGATTAGCAGTTAATACACCTTTGAAAAAACCTCCTAATGAGCAATTCTATATTTTAGGGTGCAGTTGGTATTAAAGGTGAATTTGGTGCTCCTGGAATTCCTGGGGAAAGGGTATGTTGATTTGCTACTTGATTAAACTTTGTGGCTGTTTTATACGGTTGAATCAGATAGGAAGGGGACGTATATAGAACAAGTCTGGAAGTCAGGGACACACTGTGTCCCTGCAGCGAGCAGCCACAAACTGCTGTATAATTTTCTAATTGTTTCACTATAACCCAGCCATATTCAGTGTTTGCATATTATAAAAAGTCTGCTTTTATGCTACATAGCAACATTAGGTCATTGTGGCAGAGATCGTATGGCCCACAATGCCTAAAATGTTTACTGTCAGGCCCTTTGCAGAAAAGTTGTGGGCCCCTGCCTGCTCTAGAGCACTGGCCATTATTCTGAGAGCACCATACCTTCCTGTGACTCATTATCTAGAAGGCCATGGCCCTGGTGGTTATTAACCTGAAGCTGTCACAGTAGTAACTACAGTTGAAGTGGTAGAAGGTTCAGAAACTACCATTCGGATTTTGTAATAGTTTGATAAATATTGTTCTTTTTTTTTTTGTTGTTAAATTTATTGGGGTGACATTGGTTCATATAGGTTCATGATAAGGTCATATAGGTTTCAAGTGCACATTTCTATGATACCTGACCTGTATATTGCATTATGTGCCCCCCACACCCAAAGTCAAATCACCTTTCATCATTGTATATTTATCCCCATTTACCCTTTACTACCCTCCACTGCCCTTCCCTCTGCTAACCGCCATAGTGTTGTCTTTGTCAGTGACAGTGGTCAGCAAACTGTGGCTCACGAGCCACATTTGGCTCTTTGATCCCTTGAACGTGGCTCTTCCACAAAATACCACATGCGGGCACGCGTGCACACAGAGTGTGATTGAGACTTCGTGGCCCATACACAGAAGTTGGTTTTCAGCTCTCAAAAGAAATTTCAGTCGTTTGTACTGTTGATATTTGGCTCTGTTGACTAATGAGTTTGCCGACCACTGGCCTATGAGTTTTAGTTTTATATCCCACATCCAGATTTTTTTTTTTAATTCTTCTTTAATGTGTCTGATATCTGACTGCTTGATTGATGCTGCTTCTTTTCTTTTAGAAATTACTCAGCCTGATATGCAAATTATTTTACTCTTATAGTAGTGTAACTGTTAGACTCTGTGAAATCCAACAAATTGTGTTGAACAATGATGCATACTTGATACAAGTTAATATTTATTTGTGCTGCTAGCCTCTTGCTTAAGCTTGTTAGTGACATTTCTCTTCATCATGGAATAAAAGTTCCTTTAAATACATGTTTAAGATGGACGAATTCCTTCAAAATGCATTTTCTCCTAGAGAATACTACTCCCAGTACTTCCCTTAATTCCTTAAGAGATTGCCCCAATCCAAATTTGTTTTATCCTCTCATTCCACCGATCTCTTTCTAAAATATATCATAGAAATCGGATTTTTAAAAAAATCATTTGAATACATGTGGGATCTCTCTCTCTCGCTCTCTCTCTCCCTCTCTCTCTCTCAACAAAGCCAAATACAGAATCACTGGAGTACTTAAACTATAAAATATATTATTGAACTTCTTTACTTCTTTTTGTAACGTAAGCTTTATATAAGTTTACACAGTGGATTATGGGAAAGCAGAATAAAATTCCCCTAGAATACTTTTGAACAAAATTTACTAAGATTAGTATAAAATGCCATTAATTTCAGTGCTCCAAAATGACTTTTCCTGGTTCCTATTTGGGGAAACCAGGTATAAACTGCTATTGATTGGCTGGGACAAAGCTTTCAACTCCTGAGAGGTACCATCAGCAGATTGGATTCAGAATGAGAACTAAATTAAGTAATCAACAGGTTCAATCAGTAAAAGTTGATCAACTCAATCTCAATCAAAGGGCATCCAGGAGAGCAAGTCAGTAACAGGCTAGAAGGTTAAGTAATTAAGTTAAGAAATTCTCTGTTAAAAAAATATAGTTTCTGCCCTGGCTGTTGGGATTCAGTAGTTAGAACATCAGCCCTCAAACAGAAGGGTTGTAGGTCCCATCCATGCCCTTGTTGGGGTGAATGTAAGGGGCAACAAATCAATATGTTTCTCTCATATCAATGTTTCTCTCTCTCTCTCTCTCTCTCTCTCTCTCTCTCTCTCACACACACACACACACACACACACACACGTACCTTCTCTCCCTTACAGTCTCTAAAAATCAATGGAAATGGTATCCTCAGGTGCAGATTAACAAGAAATAAAATAAATAGTTTCTTAGGAAAGAGAATATTTGAGGCAGCAGGAAGGAAATGGAGTAAGACATGATGTTGCAGAGACAAACGCTACTCAGGATTCAAGATTTTGCTTCTTTTCCCAGAATTCTAAATTTGTAGGAAGAATTTTCTGTGATGATTCATCCTGCACTCTACTTAACATAAAACTTCAGTGAATATAAAGGAATATACCAGCTACTGATAAACTGGTTGAACCTAGTGATTATGGGAATAGAAGTGTCAGCTCTTGGGGCCCATTTGGTCAAAATAGTCATAGAGTGAGACTCACAAAATCAATGGGATTTAGTATCTGTGTGAAGACTCTGTCTCCAAGGAACTTAAATGTTAATGTGATAAGAAAAGCTGTATCTATGGTGTTCTAAAATCAACAGAGATTATCCTGGCAAACACTCTCTCATGTTTCCTCAAGCAGTTTTCTTCTTTTTTTCCAAAGCAGTTTTATTTGGGTCTATTTTACTTGAGTTGTTTGTAAGGGCCTCACAGACCATTAGAGAATTCATGCAGCTTCCCATGGCGCCAAACATAGCATCAGGCTCCACTTGGCCCTGGGATCCTGGTTTCATGCATCTTTTTCGACCCTCCCAGTGTCTGTAGAATCGCTGAGACTTTGACCATATCCTCTCCTAAGATACAGCCTCTGGTGGTGCCATACCTGCTTCTAACTTGTCACTTCACTTAGGTGTTAAAGGGACATTACACTCACAAGTGAAGAAATATCACTTCAGGAATATTTTTGTTTTTACTTCCATAATTCCCAGGTTACCATTTATTTAAAATAATTTTAATGAATATATACAAAATAAAAATAACAAGAAAGTTACTATATTATGTGAGGGTATGGTTAATATGGTATAAATAATTGACTCCAATAAAGATATGTCAAAATTTTTAAAAATTTTCAAAAATTTTAAATTTTATTTTATTTTTAAAATATCTTTTTATTGTTGAAAGTATTAAAGATATTCCCTTTTTCTTTCCCCATTGATTCCATGCTCCCCCATCACCCTCCCTCTGCCCCAGGCCTTCACTGCACTGTTGTTTGTATCCAAGGTTTATGAATATATGCATATAAATTCTTTGATTAATCTCTTCTTACCACTCCTCCCCTCTGAGATTCATCAGTCTATTCCATGCTTCTATGTCTCTGGATATATTTTGTTGATCAGTTTATTTTGTTTATTAGATTCCACATTTGAGAGAATTATGTGATACTTGTCTTTCTCTGACATCTCTCATAGCAATGTGTTTGATACATCTCCTAGGGTAAGGGAAACAAAAGAGAAAAAAAAAATGGGAGTACATCAAAATAAAAAGCTTCTGCACAGCAAAAGAAACCGTCAACAAAATGAAAAGGGAGCCCACTGTATGAGAGACCATATTTGCCAATGATATATCTGATAAGAGGTTAATTAGAACTCATATGACTTAACAAAAGAATATAATCAATTTTAAAAATGGGCAAAGGGGACCTAAATAGACTGTTTTCTAAAATTTCAAAAATTTTGCCAAAACCGGTTTGGCTCAGCGGATGGAGCATCGACCTGCAGACTGAAAGGTCCCAGGTTCGATTCTAATCAAGGGCATGTACCTTGGTTGCAGGCACATCCCCAGTAGGGGGTGTGCAAGAGGCAGCTGATCAATGATTCTCTCTCATCGATGTTTCTAACTCTCTATCCCTCTCTCTTCCTCTCTGTAAAAAATCAACAAAATATATATTTAAAATAAATAAATAAATAAAATTTCAAAAACTTTTAATTAAAGTTGTAAATATGAGCACTTACACTTGGCATAAAATACTTTTATTGTTTTATGATGAAATTGATTTGATGGATTTTTTCTAAGCAAGTTTCCGAGGAAAATTCATTAGTTCTTAAAGTACTATGTATCCTCAGAGCTGTATCTCCCACTGTTGGTTTAATGCATCTCCCAGAGTACTCATACAGCATCCCAAGCTTCACTTTGATTCTGCTTTTCCGCATTTGTGATTCTTGGTGTTCTTTTACTAATAAATAAAGATGCTTAAGAGTTCTATTAAAATATAAAGTAAAAACCTTTCTTGGAGCAAGAACATATATACCTCCATGTATACCTCTGGTGTACTATTTTCAAAGTGAAGTCCTTTATTTATTTATTTATTTATTTATTTATTTATTTATTTTTCAGTTTATCCTCACCCGATGATATGGTTTTATTGATTTTTAGAGAGAGAGAGGAAGGAAGAGAGAGAAGCATCAATGCGAGAGAGAAACATCCATCGGTTGCCTCCTGTACGTCCCCTGACTGGGGATCAAACCTGAAGCCTTTTGTTGTTTGGGATGATGCTCCAACCAACTGAACAACCCAGCCAGGGCAAGTCCTCTGTTTTTGAAGGTTTAATATTTAAACTAACAAACTGATTTATAATAATGGAGTGAGACATATTCTGAGCAGTGCAGAATAGAATTTGAATATTAGCTGTACTTACTTCCAATGTAATGAAGTAATAAATTAAGTGATCTCTATATGAGTCCCATTATTCTAAAGTAAACCTACACCTTGAAGTGTATTAGGTGATAGCAATATTTTTTTAAAAAAGTAAAGTCCCTGAACTAAATATTAGTTTACTGAGGCAGCATTTTTCTTCTGAGGCCTGGGAGAAAAATAGTTTACTAACCAACACTGTACTTATTATGAAATCAATTTATGGAATAGGGAGTCATGGAGACTTTGAAGATGATGAACTGTGGAATTTAATTATGCTGTTTTATATTTATGATACCCATCAC